CCCACCCAAAAAAATTACTTTGACCAAAACACTAACCCTGGCACAGACCAGATTAAACCTTGATCTAGGTATTTTTTGTTTATTTTCAAATAGTTTTTATTTCTTTTTTACACACACTTGTTTTGTTTTTTTTCCTCTCTAAAAAGGACAGAGAGAGATACAATGTATCTCTCTCCTCCAGTCAGAGAGAGAAAACAAGGGGGGGCGGGCTTTACAGTGACTGATCACTGTGACAGCCAATCGGAGACTATTACAGTGATCAGGTGACACGGATTGGGAGTGCCGTGTCCCGAGCGTTGGAACGGGACCCGAGGCTCTTAGTGACACCCGGTCTTTGTGCTGGGAGCGCTCCGTGTGGCGCGCTCCCAGCAGAAAGACAGGTGCGCAAATTAGCGGCCCCACGGAAAAAAGCCCAGTTCTGTGATGCCGCTAATTTGTGTGCGGTCGCGTCGTCAAGGGGTTACGATACCGGGATGGTGCTGGCAGTTGCAGGCATCATCCCGGTACAACCACCTAAAGCCAATAGACACACATGTATGTGATTTGGCATCAACTGGCTACACAAGATACATCGATGACATAGGGGCCAGCGGGAGGAAACGCCTCGCATTGGGCGGGGGTGGGGACAGGAGATTGACACTGCTGGAAGTGTCAGTTTCGTATGAATACTTCAGCTGGAGATTTTTCCTGATGTCTCACTTGCCCTCCGTTAAAGCTAATGGTGCTCAGATTGCGCTCTGTTAGCTTCTTCGCTGGCCACAGTGGCATTGCGGAGTCACAGGAATGATGTCATGTATGTCACTTCCAGGTTCTTAGTACCTAGAGGAGATTTGCAAATGAACGTGCGCTGGTCTCCCTGCCCTCTTCCCAGCGACACCTACCAATGCCTGTCCCAGTTTAATTCTTAATGACACCTCCACTCACTAGCACCCGCACACACTCAAACCATGCAATTTGGGTCAGGGACCTCTTTTCCTGTGTGTAGGGCAGCCTACAGGCAAGATGCATGTGCAAAAAATGCACACATACATGTGAACCAAGCCGAAAGCAAGGTACAAGTTGCCCCACCATGGGAGGAAAACAAAATCCTGATCATCTGTGACAGCCAGATATTCCCTGGATCAACAAATGCTTGTTCCCAAGCATGAAAGAACGCATCTCCAGTATCCCTTTAGAGGTGCATGATCAAACAACTCCCTGACCTACAGGGAGCAGCATGCACATCTAAAAGGATGCTGGGAATGTGTTTTTTTTTTATTTTCACCTATGAAAAAGGATCAGAGGCAGGGTGCTGTGGTGTTTACAGGAGCTCACTGGCCCCTTCCACCAAACCTGGAGCAAAGACAAGCCGACAGACGCAGTGATGAGGTCGGTGGGCCTCCAGTGATGTATTTGCAAGGGGGGGGCGCGCGTTCAATGCTGGCATTACACTTCTGCTTTGATATCCATTCAGGGACATGCTTGATACCATGAACGCAGTGGTGACTTTCTGTGTTTCTCCCTTCTTCAGGTCAGCCTTGGGGAGGGAGTCCGGGATGAATACAATGTTGTAGAGGTGACGGCCCGCAGTCATACCAATGAGGACATCACCGTGCCCATCGCCACACTGAAGCTGTCCTGTCAGACCATGGTAAGGACTGTAGTCATTGAACGGGTAGAAGGGTGGCCTTGAAGCGCTGGGTTCTTGTGTCCAGTAGAGCCAACCAGAGAACCGGGAACTCTCCCGACCTAAAGGCTCGTATACATTCTAACCTTTTGTTGTGCCCACCCCCAGGCAAACGTCCGCCGTCTAGCTTTTGTGGAACTACAAAACCCATAAGGCATTGCAAGACTTTTGACAGCTACAAGCTTGACTCCCAGGGCAGAGGCAGATCCGTGATGGGACTTGTAGTTCCACATCATCTCAAGGGAAGACGTTCTCCTACCCCTGCTCTAACCTATTCCCACTGGCTGACCGCGCACTGTAGTTTTACTGCTACGGTGTGCGCCGGGTGCGCAGAATCTCGTATTTATACATGATCTTGCATTTCCTGTTGTCTCTGGCTCCAGCACTTGCGGATCACTGCGCCCTGGCCAATGGTTTATGGCCGGGATCTGCCAATCGGTGGAGAGAGCTCTGTATAGGCAACCTGCGGCTCTCTAGCTGTTGTGGAACTACATTTCCCATGAGGCATTGCAAAGATTACAAAACTGACAGTTACAGCTATGACTTGCAGAGGCATGATGGAACTTGTAGTCCTGCAACAGCTGGAGAGCCGCAGGTTGCCTACTCCTGGTATAGGTAAAAACACAGAGCTCTGTACTGACAGAGGCGATGTGCCAGTTTTTGTTTCCCTGCAAAGCGGGGAATAAAAACCGGCACGTCCCTTAGTAAAAAAAAAAAAAAAAAAAAAGCACACAGTGAACACTTTACACCATGGGTGTCAAACTGGCGGCTCTCCAGCTGTTGCCAAACTACAAGTCCCATGAGGCATTGCAAGATTGACAGTTACAAGCATGACTTCCAAAGGCAGAGGCATGATGGGACTTTCAGTTTTTCAACAGCTGGAGGGCAGCCAGTTTTACACCCCTGCTTTACACATTACTGGGCACACAGCCCTTTGATTACCCCAGATGTTAACCGCTTCCCAGCCAGTGTCATGAGTACAGTGGTGGTGTATATTATTATTGTCACTGGGGACTTCAATGTCAGTTAGTGTCAGATTGCCCGCTGCACTATCACACTCCCGCTATAAGTCACCGATCACCGCCATTACTAGAATAAAAACAAAATTACAGTATATATCCAATAGTTTGTAGATACTATAACGTTCATGCTAACCAATTAATATACATTCTGTGGGATTTTTTTTTTTTTTTTATAAAAGGCATGTATCAGAATTTGGGTCTAAATTTATAAAGAAATTTGATTTTAAAATCTTTTTTTTTTATTAGATATGATTTATAGCAGAACGTAAAAAATATTGTGGGTTTTTTTTTTTTTTAGTTTTTATATGATAAAAAAGCCAGAGGCGATCAAATATCAACACAAGAAAGCTCTTATTTGTGGGGAAAATGCCTTACAAAAAAAAAAAAAAAAAAAAAATATATATATATATATATATATATATATATATAACACATTTATTTGGATCAACTTTATTGCTTTCACAAGGGATAAACCACATCCCTTGTGAAAGTATGGGCCATGACAGGTCCTCTTTATGGAGAGACCCCAAATCTCTCCTCTGGCCTTTAATGCAGCCGATCAGACACAGATTGGTCTGATTGGCTGCTTTCCTGAAAACAAAGAGCCGAAACTGAAAGTGACAACATCCTTGTTTTCCGGGGTCAAAGAGACAGAGGAGCATCATCAGTTCCTCCCGGTCCATTGAATCGGATAATACAGTGTTTTCATGTAATGCCCCAATCAGGAAAATACTGCATTTTTCCACTAGATGGAGCTGGTGTTCATTTGTGAATGCTTGCTGCATTGCACAGTCAATTTTTATAGACCCCCAAGTGTAGTTAATTGAGCGTGCCTCCTTTTTTTTTTTCTTTTTTTTTTTTTTTAAGCCTTTTTATCTGTTTGTCCCAAGCACATTTAACCTGACACTACCTGCCATGTGGGCTTTAACACTGGGCAGTCCATAGGGAGCAGCTCACTGCGTGCTCTCCCAGCACAGTAACTGATCTGTCGGGGGCGATCAGGAGCTCCTGATCATGTGACAGCCAATCACAGCAATTACAAGATTGGAAAGCCTATTTTCATTTCTTGGCACTTAAAAACTTTTAAAGGGCTAGGGGTGGCAAAACTCACTTACTGTTGACTGACTAAATCCGGTCTCTGGTGGAAGTCCAATTATCTAGACCAGCAATGCCAGAAACTTGGATGTGTGTCTGCACCGGGAGGTGGAGGGTGATATGATCATTGCATGGGGTGTGTCCGGATGCCTGTACCAGTAGGTGGCAGGTGATATGATCATTGCATGGGGTGTGTCCGGATGCCTGTACCAGTAGGTGGCAGGTGATATGATCATTGCATGGGGTGTGTCCGGATGCCTGTACCAGTAGGTGGCAGGTGATATGATCATTTGCATGGGGTGTGTCCGGATGCCTGTACCAGTAGGTGGCAGGTGATATGGTCGTTGCATGGGGTGTGTCCGGATGCCTGTGCCAGTAGGTGGCAGGTGATATGGTCGTTGCATGGGGTGTGTTCGGATGCCTGACCAGTAGTGGCGAGTGATATGGTCCTTGCATGGGGTGTGTCCGGATGCCTGGACCAGTAGGTGGCGGGTGATATGGTCCTTGCATGGGGGGTGTGTCCGATGCCTGTACCAGTAGGTGGCAGGTGATATGGTCCTTGCATGGGGTGTGTCTGGATGCCTGTACCAGTAGGTGGCAGGTGATATGGTTCTTGCATGGGGTGTGTCCGGGGATGCCTGTACCAGTAGGTGGCAGGTGATATGGTCCTTGCATGGGGTGTGTCGGGATGCCTGTGCCAGTAGGTGGCAGGTGATATGGTCGTTGCATGGGGTGTGTCCGGATGCCTGTACCAGTAGGTGGCAGGTGATATGGTCCTTGCATGGGGTGTGTCAGATGCCTGTACCAGTAGGTGGCAGGTGATATGGTCATTGCATGGAGTGTGTGTGTCTGGATGCCTGTACCAGTAGGTGGCAGGTGATATGGTCCTTGCATGGGGTGTGTCCGGATGCTTGTACCAGTAGGTGGCAGGTGATATGGTCCTTGCATGGGGTGTGTCCGGATGCCTGTACCAGTAGGTGGCAGGTGATATGGTCATTGCATGCCTGTACCAGTAGTGGAGTGTGGTCTGCATGGGGTGTGTCCGGATGCCTGTACCAGTAGGTAGCAGGTGATATGGTCGTTGCATGGGGTGTGTCCGGATGCCTGTACCAGTAGGTGGCAGGTGATATGGTCGTTGCATGGAGTGTGCCCGGATGCCTGTACCAGTATTTACAGAGTTCTTTTCTTGGCCCATTCAGGTGAATTTGGACAACTTTGTGATCCAGCCGCCAGTGACGTTTCGCCTGAAGTCTGGCTCAGGACCGGTCCTTCTGTCTGGGCAAGTGATTGTTGGTAAGGCATTGATGATACATGGGCAACCTATTACAAGAGAAAGTATTGTTTCACCTGCTGCACTACAATGACAGCTGGCTTCTGATTGGCTGCTGCGTGTAACTCAAGACACTTCACATTTCTGTAGTTTTAGGTTTTAGTCCTCTCAGGTTTTAAATTCTGTCTGGGGAGAGCCAAACAATGGTTGCTTTGGGTTGGGCTTAAAGGAGAAGTATGACCGAAGATTTTTTGAATCACAAGTGTGCCGTTCGTTCAGCAGGCTGAAGTCACAGCCGGTCCCTTGAAAAAGGGGGGATGGCTACTCTTACAGTGAAGGAAATGCGTATTTGCTCCCCTGCTGATGTTGAATGTTTGCCCCTCACAAAGAAACGATCGGTCTAACAATCAAATGTTCGGTGTATTGTAACACTGAGAGACAGAATAGCAACAACAAATTCAGCAGAAATGCGTCTAACAAATGATGACTGATCTGCATGTTCATGAGGGAAATAAGTATTTGATCTCCTTCACAAAACATGACTTAGTACTTGGTGGCCAATCCCTTGTTGGCAATCACAGAGGTCAGACGTTTCCTGGAGTTGGCCCCCAGGTTTGCACACATCTCAGGAGGGATTTTGGCCCACTCCTCTTGGCAGATCCTCTCCAAGTCATTAAGGTTTGGTGGCTGACATTTGGCAACTCGAACTTTCAGCTCCTCCACAGATTTTCAATCGGATAAGGGCTGGAGACTGGCTAGGCCACTCCAGGACCCTAATGTGCTTCTTCTTGAGCCACTCCTTTGTTGCCTTGGCCGTGTGTTTTGGGTCATTGTCATGCTGGAACACCCATACATGACCCATTTTCAATGCCCTGGCTGAGGGAAGAAGGTTCACCCAAGATTTGAGGGTACATTGCCCCATCTATCGTCCCTTTGATGCGGTGCAGTTGTCCTGTCCCCTTAGCAGAAAAACACCCCCAAAGCAGAATGTTTCCACCACCATGTTTCACAGTTGGGATGGTGTTCTTGGGGTCATAGGCAGCATTCCTCCTCCTCCAAACACGGTGAGGTGAGTTGATGCCAAAGAGCTCGATTTTGGTCTCATCTGACCACAACACTTCCCACCAGTCCTCCTCTGCATCATTCAGATGTTCAGTGGCAAACTTCAGACGGCCTGGACATGTGCTTTCTTGAGCAGAGGGACCTTGCGGGCACTGCAGGATTTCAGTCCTTGTCGGCGTAGTGTGTTACCAATTGTTTTCTTGGCGACTGTGGTCCCAGCTGCCTGGAGATCATTGACAAGATCCTCACGTGTAGTTCTGGGATGATTCCTCACTGTTCTCATGATCATTGACACTCCACGAGGTGAGATCTTGCATGGTGCACCAGACCTAGGGAGACTGACAGTTGCTTTGTGTTTCTTCCATTTGTGAATGATTGCACCAACTGTTGTCACCTTCTCACCAAGCTGCTTGGCGATAGTTTGGTAGCCCAGTCCAGCCTTGTGTAGGTCTACAATCTTGTCCCTGACATCCTTGGACAGCTCTTTGGTCTTTGCCATGGTGGAGAGTTTGGAATCTGATGGTTTGATTGCTCCTGTGGACAGGTGTCTTTTATACAGGTAACACAATGAGATTATCAGCACTCCCTTTAAGAGACTGCTTCTAATCTCACCTTGTTACCTGTATGAAAGACACCTGGTAGCCAGAAATCCTGCTGAATGATGGGGGATCAAATCCTTATTTCCCTCATGAACATGCAGATCAGTCATCATTTGTTAGATGCATTTCTGCTGAATTTGTTGTTGTATTCTGTCTCTCAGTGTTACAATACACCGAACATTTGATTTGTAGACCGATCATTTCTTTGTGAGGGGTGAACATTCAACATCACCGGGAGCAAATATGCATTTTCTTCATTGTGTATGTATGTGTTCGATATATCTATCTATCTATATATCATCTATCTATCTATCTATCTATCTATCTATCTATCTATCTATCTATCTATCTATCTATCTATCTATCTATCTATCTATCTATCTATATATCATCTATCTATCTATCTATCTATCTATCTATCTATATATCATCTATCTATCTATCTATCTCTCTATCTCTCTATCTATATATCATCTATCTATCTCTCTATCTCTCTATCTCTCTATCTATCTCTCTATCTCTCTATCTATTATCCATCTATCTATCTATCTATCTATCTATCTATCTATCTCTCTATCTCTCTATCTATTATCTATCTATCTATCTATCTATCTCTCTATCTCTCTATCTATCTATCACAGTGTATGTATAGATGGATATAATTTTAATTATTTATTGTAAAGGTGAATCCACCCTTTTAAGGAGAAAGTTTAGTATATATATTTTGGGGAGGGGGAATACAGCCGCATACACATTGGTTACATGTAATGGTATGTATCTCAAAAGCCATCCCTACAGTGCCTCCTCACAGCCGCCAGATCCTGTCCTGAACCTCCCGTCCTCCAGCACTGTGAAAGTTAACTGCAGCCGCTGTTATAGAGAAATGTTGCACAGCTCGCCTGCCGCCTTCTGCCCTCTCCGCCATTCACACAACTCACATGACTACACTACCACAATGTTGTGCATTCTGCAACTGGATGGTGGAATCCTGTCATTCAGCTGCTCCTCCTCCATTCACAGAACACAGAGCATTGTGGGAATGTAGTACTACAAGTTTTGTGAATGGTAGAGGGGGCAGGAGTGGGCAAGAGAGCATTGTATCCATTCTCTGTTGCAGCAGCTGCAGTTAAAGGTCAGTGTTTTTTGTTTTGTTTTTTTTTTTTTTTAATTTGAAAAATTACTGTAGCTGCTCACTTTTACAATCAGGTACTTACCAGTACCAGGTTCCAGCACTGTCTTCCCATAGCCAGTTCTTCTTACTGCTGCGGGTACCTGGAGCCGCCATTTTGGATATGGGAACCAACTGTGACTTCATGAGGAATCACAGCAGACTCCTATTAGAGTCAATTATGTCATGAGTATCCCTGCCTCTTTCATCTGTAGAGTGAGGAATGCCAGGGCACTGCTTGTTCTGCCAGCGGGATATGATCATGTAACAGCTTCCCACCGGTTCTGCTGAACTCGGTTTGGACCAATCCCAGCTCATTCCTGCTGCCTGTGGATACCAATAAGGACCTAGCAGGTAATCGAGCCCTGCATCACCTTCTCTTCCCAGGCATTCTCCACGGTTGTACACAAAGGGGTCCGGGATTATGATGATGTCATTGACCTAATATGGCCATATTATGTTAATGACATCAGGTTAGTGATGTCACCATTATCCCGAACCCCTTTGTGTGCATGCAGCTGTAGAACAGGGAGTTCCCTGGCTGCAGCTGATTGGGGCCAGCAGGGATGATATAAATAACAGTTTCCCACTGGTTCTGGCGAACTGGGTCATGAACACAAGCAGCTCATACAGCCTTGCAGCCGAGCTACTGTTGCTATTGGTCCACGTTGTCTACATATCCCTATATCGACGTTCCATTGGTGTTAAGTGGTACAGACATGATGTTTCAACCACCTTCCTGTAATCTTCACGGGAACATATGGATGGATAACCGTTCAGTGAGAAAGTATAGATGAAATGGGGAGGTCATGGTGATGAAAACATTTTGGAAGCTTTTGGGAATTATCAAACACCCCACTAAATTTAGAACTGTGTTTTTATCAACCTTACTGGGACCAGGGACCAATAAGCTGTGGGCTCTCTGGGGGCTTGGGGATACCGTGGGGAGATTGAAGGGCACAGTGGGCCACTCTGGGAGGTTGGAAGCTGGGAGGCTTTGTGGGAGGTTCAGGGGCCTGGTGGGCCACTATGGGAGGTTGGGAGGCACTGTGGGAGGGAGGTTCTGGGGCCTAGTGGGCCACAATGGGAGGTTGGGGGGGAGGGGGGGGGGGGCGGCGGCATGGTGGGCCATTATTGGAAGGTTGGGATGCATTTTGGGAAGTTGAGAGGCATGGTGTGCCACTATGGGAATTTGGAGGCATTTTGGGAAGTTGGGAGCATGGTGCGCCACTATGGGAGGTTGGAAGGCATTGTGGGAGGTTGAGGGGCATGGTGGGCCGCTATGGGAGGTTGGAAGGCATTGTGGGAGGTTGAGGGGCATGGTGGGCCACTATGGGAGGTTGGAAGGCATTGTGGGAGGTTGAGGGGCATGGTGGGCCACTATGGGAGGTTGGAAGGCATTGTGGGAGGTTGAGGGGCATGGTGGGGCCACTATGGGAGGTTGGAAGGCATTGTGGGAGGTTGAGGGGCATGTTGGGCCACTATGGGAGGTTGGGAAACACTGTGGGAGCTTGAAAGGCACTGGTGGAAGTTTATGGGATGGTGGAAGGCATTGTTTGGAGGTTGAGGGGGCATGGTGGGCCACTATGGAGGTTGAGAAGCACTTGGGAGGTTGAGAGGCATGGTGGACCACTATGGGAGGTTGGTAGGCACTACGGGAGCATGAAGGCACTGTGGAAGGTTGAGAGGCATGGTGGACCACTATGGGAGGTTGGAAGGCATGGTGGGCCAGGGGTGATTGAGGGGCACTATCTGAGGTTGAGAGGCATGGGGACCACTATGGGATGAGGGTAGGCACTACGGGAGCATGAAGGCACTGTGGGCCAGGTTGAGAGACATGGTGGGCCATAGCACTGTGGGCCATAGATCTGCAGTAGTCAGGGCCTGGGCCTGAGGGACTGCAACCTGGCTGTGGGCCATAGCCTGTGGTTGAGAACTACTGGTTCAGAACATGAATCCATGTAGATGTCTTTTAACTACTTAACTTTTGTTTTTTGCACTCCCATTGCAGTACCACTAGACCTGGAATCTGAGGAGGGGGAAGACGATGAAGATGACTCAGAAGAGGAGGAAGATTTAGCGCCCATAAAACCAGCCAACAAGAAACTGAGAAAATGATTATGCACGGTCTCTGCATTCTGACCTACATTGGGGTTGATATATACTAAAGGAGTAGAGCATTTTCTCTTCTACAGGGAACTTTCACTTGGCTAAGTGAATGAAGTGAAGCTCTGCTGACTTCAATCATCCAATCATATGCAAGCAAGAATCCTATTTTGTAACGTTCCTTGTACATGATTGGGTATCTTTTCACTTTGCTTCATCTCATTCATTTTGCAAGTGCACTTGATCTACTCTTTAAATCAATCCTTCTGACTCGGAGATATTGTGTGATATATGTATATCCAAGAAATTGTAGGTGGATAAAATGTGTGAAGCGTCTCATAGTTTTTCAGTTATGAAAGGACATTGGTGGACTAAGTTCTCCACCGGCTTCTTGTGTCTCTCTGGGACTTTTTTAGCCAAATCTCAAATTCCTGACCATTGCAGGGGGCGGAGCTGGGAAGAGAGATTTAAGCGCCCTATTCCAAGAGATCTATAAAGCTGGAGATAGATTCAGCCCTTCTGCGTCCTTCCATAACTGAATTACCAGTTGATAATGGCTTGGAACCCTATTCCTATATCTATAGATGGATCTATAGGTATCTGAGTGCCTTTTTTTTGCATTGCCAAATGTATTTTTGTACTTGAACTTTGAACAGTTTTTTTGTACTGTTTACAGATATAGAATGTTTTAAATCACATTAGTAGTTTGTTGGCTAGATTGAGCTTTTCACACTGAAGAATTGTGACTTTTGCTGTGATCTCCAGGAACACAAGATGGCCTTCCCTATGCTTGTGCTGTGATGGCCATGAGCCTGAATAGAAGGTTCTGGACATTAGAGAAGTTGATGCTTAGTTGCTGCTTAGACAGACGGGTTCTGATTGGCTGCTGTGGACATGCTGACACATTTCTTTTACTTTCATGTATCGGCCTCATGTTTGACAAAAATAGTGACTGTATCCATTCAGGACAAAAGGACATGTTCTCCTAATAGGGGGTTCTGGTTTGCTGAACGCCTCGCTGTTTCACTTGGAATTATAAGCCCTGTGTACTATTCACATCACATGATATCAGAGCTTACACAGGGTTAAAGTGGAACTTCTCTGCATCTGAGCAGCAATTCATTTTTAGTAGCATTTACTTCCTGGCATAAATCTGCCCTTAGCTCAGTCATGCAGGCAGGAGGGTGTGCTTAGCTGAGAAACCCCTCCTTCCCACTTCCCATCCTGAAGACTCCTGGGGATGTATGACATCATTTGCCTATGCATTAAAACCAGGAAGTATCTAAAGAAGTGTAAAAAAAAAATTCTAAAACAAGTAAATATGATGTTTATTAATTCTAGCAGCATAAGAATTAAAAACAATCAGTGTTGATGATTGAGAGTGTGAAGTTCCACTTTAACCACTTAAGGACCGCTCTATAGCAGTTTTACTGGTACAGGATGGTCCTCCTGTGCAAAATCTCCCTCTCTATACCTCTCTCTCCCCTCTCCCCCCTCCCGTCCCCCCCTTTCTCGCTCTCTCTCTCCCCCTCTCCCCCCCTCTCTCTCCCCCTCTCTCTCCTCCCTCTCTCTCCCCCTCTCTCTCCCCCTCTCTCTCTCTCCTCCCTCTCCTCTCTCTCTCCCCCCCCTCTCCCCTCTCCTCTCCCCCCTCTCCTCCCTCTCCCCCCTCTCTCCCCCCCTCTCTCTCCCTCTCCTCTCCCCCCTCTCTCCTCCCCCTCCTCTCTCTCCCCCTCTCTCTCCCCCCCCCTCTCTCTCCCCCCCCTCTCTCTCCCCCTCTCTCCCCCCCCCTCTCTCTCCCCCCCCTCTCCTCTCCCCCCTCTCTCCCCCCCCCTCTCCTCTCCCTCTCTCTCCCCCCCTCTCCTCTCCTCTCTCTCTCTCTCCCCCCTCTCCTCTCCCTCTCTCTCTCTTCCCTCCCTCTCCATCCTTCCCCTCTCCCCCTCCATCCTCCCCTCTCTCTCTCTCCTCCCCCCCCCTCTCTCTCTTCCCTCCCTCTCTCTCTCCTTCCATAGGGGGGTGTGCATGCACCCCTTCTCGGATTGCTTCTGCTGTGAACACTCACAGCAGAAGTCGATCTGTGAGTGACGGTGAATGGATGTTCACTGATTGTCAGGCAGGACAGAGAACAGAGCTCTGCCCATGTAAACAAGGCAGAGCTCTGTTCAAAGGGGGAAAGTGAAGGATCTTGTGTCCCTGCAAAGCTGGGAACATGATCCTTCACTTCCCCTAGTAAAAGAGCTGCCTAGTGTACACCAAGCACATAGCTAGGGACACAGTTAACCATTTGATCACATTAGATGTTTAGCCCTTTCCCAGACAGTATCGGTGTATATTTTTGTCACTGATCACTGTATTAGTGTCATTGGTTCCCACAAAGTGTCAGTGTAAAAATGTCCACCGCAATATTGCAGTCCCACTATAAGTCGCTGATCACTGCCATTGCTAGTCATGAAAAATAAAAAAATAAAACATCCAGTATATGTCCCATAGTTTGTAGACACTATATCTTTTGAGCAAACTAATCAGTATACACCTTATTGGGATTTTTTTTTTTTTTTTTTTACTAAAAATATGTAGCAGAGTACATTTTGGCCTAAATTTATGAAGACATTGGATTTTTTGTTTTAAATTTATTGGATATGTTTTATAGCAGAAAATAAAAAAACATTGTTTTTTTTCAAAGTTGTTGGTCTTTTTTTGGTTATAATGCAAAAGGTAAAAACGCAGCAAATACCACCAAAAGAAAGCTCTATTTGTGGGGAAAAAGTAACAAATTTAATTTATGTACAGCGTTGCATGACTGTGCAATTGTCCGTTAAAGTAATGCAGCAACATATTGCAATGAGAAGTATAGTGCCCCATTGGTGGTGTTAATAGAGGGAATGGTGCTCCATCACTGGTGACAGTTGGTGGAATAGTGCCCCAAGGGCCAGATAAAGGCAAGCAAAGGGCCCCGGGGCTGCAGTTTGGAGACTACCCTACCAACATAGGGCTCTGTATAGAGGGAGCGATGCCTAAGCAGGGAAATGAAATAAATCGATCTGTAGTACAAAGCAGCACACAGTATTTATTTAAGGTACTTATATAGCGCTGTCAATTTACGCTTCCCATATATATTGTACATTCACATCGGTCCCTAACTCTCAAGGGGCGTACAACCTAAGGTCCCTAACTTAGATTCATACATACAAATACTAGGGACAATTTAGACAGGAGCCAATTAACCTTCCAGCATGTCTTTGGAGTGTGGGAGGAAACCGAAGTACCAGGAGGAAACCCACACAGGCACAGGGAGAGCATGCAAACTCCAGGCAGGTGGAGCCGTGGCTAGGATTCGAACCAGCAACCCTAGTACTGCCAGGCGGAAGTGCAAACCATTTAGCCGCTGTGCCGCCCCAGTAAACACGTTTAACACTTGCTAGGCACACAACCTCCTGATTGCTCCTAGATGTTAACCCCTTCCCGGACCCTGCATTCACTATATCTGCTCTCCCCGAACCCTGCATTCACTATATCTGCTCTCCCCGGACCCTGCATTCACTATATCTGCTCTCCCCCGACCCTGCATTCACTATATCTGCTCTCCCCGGACCCTGCATTCACTATATCTGCTCTCCCCCGGACCCTGCATTCACTATATCTGCTCTCCCCGGACCCTGCATTCACTATATCTGGTCTCCCGGACCCTGCATTCACTATATCCGGTCTCCCCCGGACCCTGCATTCACTATATCCGGTCTCCCCCGGACCCTGCATTCACTATATCCGCTCTCCCCGGACCCTGCATTCACTATATCCGCTCTCCCCGGACCCTGCATTCACTATATCCGCTCTCCCCGGACCCCGCATTCACTATATCCGCTCTCCCCCGGACCCCGCATTCACTATATCCGCTCTCCCCCGGACCCCGCATTCCCTATATCCGGTCTCCCTGGACCCTGCATTCCCTATATCCGGTCTCCCCGGACCCCGCATTCCCTATATCCGGTCTCCCCGGACCCCGCATTCCCTATATCCGGTCTCCCCGGACTCTGCATTCACTATATCTGGTCTCCCACAGTACACAGAACATGGAAATGCAATTATTTTAGTAAATATAAACTTCTAAATACCTTTTCTCATCAGCAGTATATAGCAGTCTTGTGACTTCTATCAGTGTCCAGCAGTTAAAGCTTGTAGGAGCTTTCTTTCTCCTCTGACTGTCCTTTCAGGCTTCAGGACCCCTGACCCTCTGTCTGGACAGTGCTGGTTGGCCCTGTGCTGATCACATGCACCCTCCCAAAGAAAAAAAAAATGCTCTCTAGCAATACACATCAAACCTAGCATGTGCAAAGTGACTCCAAGAGCTCTGTACTATCAGCAGATGGATTGGGGACAGTAGAAGGGGAGGATCAAAGAAGACTGGCTCAAACAGCCTTTTTACACAATACAGAGGATTAACCCCTTAGGTTTCACAGTGAGTATAACAAGTATGCTTTATTGCATCTACAGACTGATTGTACTGTTGTGGGTTTGGTAACACTTTAAGTGGCTATTCAAGTTCTGAAGAAGTTAGTGTTTGAAGGCATCAGAGATGCATTTATTTCTGTTATATGAGAAATAAAAAAAAAAAAAGATTTGACTTGTAGAAGTGTGGCAGCCAATTTTCTCTGGGCTTGTAATCACATGATGAGGTTCAGTATTATAAGAGCAATGTGGCACCACCTGCCTGAAGTTTGCATGTTCTCCCTGTGCCTGCGTGGGTTTCCTCCGGGTATTCTGGTTTCCTCCCACACTCCAAAGACATGCTGGTAGGATAATTGGCTCTTGTCTAAATTGGTCCTAGTATGTGTATGTATGAAAGTGAGATAGGGACCTTAGATTTTACGCCCCTTGAGGGTTAGTCAGTGGCGTCCCTAGGCAGGTGTGGGGGGGTGCGCGCTGCATCGAGTGACACCTACTGCACGGGGTGACACCGGACCCGCTCCACGAAAAGGTAAGTTGTAAGGCAAACCGACGATCCCCGCAGGATGGAT